ATTCCTTTTATTCAATCTTTCTCTCATATTCTTTTGGCTTTTCAGAGACTTAACATTATATGTTATCCATGGTTCAAGCAACTAGGAAACAAGAAAATTCAACACATTGTAACAGGTGAGTGCATCTGAAATATGAGTTATCATTAACTGACCACTGCAAATTTCAATGTCATAAAATAAATTAGGTGGAAACCTATCAAACAGTCTTATAGAGACCTGTGAATCCTTATATGATTTCTTTGCCCCACACAAGTTAAGTAAAAATCCTAAGTGCAACATAAAAGAATATCTAATGAAATAGAAACCTGACAGATATATCTTGATTCATGCCTTACGTCCAGTACACTCAAATGCATGATAACGTTGAAAGGTTGTGGCTTTAGACCGAAGTTTTAAAAATTTATCAGTTCAGTTCTTAAGCTGTTTTTAAGAAAGGGATAATTTAGAATAATACGTATTTTAACCACTCATGAAACCAACACAGGACTTTCTTAAAAATATTAATTCTAGTTGTATTTCACTTACATACATCAAATACTTATTCTTCTCGCAGTCCAGGTTAAATAAACACCAAACATGTAAACAAGGCAGAATGATTACAGTACCACATCTATGCTGCTTCTGCAGCAGTAAGGAACATAACCAAAAAAATACATCAGTAGTGACATGACGTGCAGAAGACTATCCTTTCCTTCGTCCTCTGGAAATGATGGAAGTGATGTTTCAACACCAAGCATCATCTCACCAAGGTTACAGTGCAGTTTCTGCAATATCAGTTGAGAGGTACAAAAAAATCAGCAGGTACTCAGCTTATCCTATAATATTCTCAGTAGTTAAGGATAATGTCTTTCTTTAGCAGTTACTCTTGCAATGCTTGCCCAAGATTAGTGGACCTAATGGACCACTAATCCTAAAGTGGACCAGAGGAAAGGAAAGACTGGATTTCTGCCAAGAATCCACAAGGTGATGATGCAAAATCAAACCTTTAGATTTCAATTCAAACCTACTGGTTCATACTGAGGTCATTGAGAGCTGAATTAATTTAGTCATTCAGAAGTTACACATCTAGACTAAGATAGTCATTCAGCCCAACTCTAAATCTAATGGACAAAGCCTGGCATTTCCAGAAGGTGATTCAGCCTACTCTTAAGTACTTGCCTAAACCCACACTTTCACTATCATTTTGATCCAGTGCAAGTCAGCATCCTCCTATGCTCTGAAGTCCCTTGAGGTTCAAAGGGAAATCATGACAACATGATAATTCATCTTCTAATCTCACTCTCTATGAGCTTTCGTGTGTCACAGGTCTCATGATACGAGAACTAAAGGGTTTTGGGTGAGAGACATACTTAGGCAAACTAGCAGCCCAGTTTTTCCTAGAAGTGCCATGCTCAGTTTGTGTTAGCTATCCTCCATAGTGCTTTTAAGATAAAATAATCTACCCCAGAAACTGGGAGGGCACACCAGTTTTGCTGAGCCTGTTTTGATGATCAGGCTTTTCAGGAGCTGCACTAACACACGCCCATTCACTGCAAGGGGCAAAGCTCCAGCAAGAACAAGGTGTCCACAAGCACTTCCCCTTGCCTCCATTCTGGCAGGCATTAGTACTTTCTGGGGTCTGAAAACAGGAGTCCTAAATAAATAGGGAAATGAAGAAAAAATCCCAGAATGTGGCATATAGTTAATCACATATTTGCTTGGTACTTTGCAGCCATGCCCTTTTCTGCAGTGTGACATTTTAACAGCAACACTGCAGCAGAGAATGGCCAAGCCTGGGCTGACGTCTGCTCAGAAACACTTGAGGCACCTGGCAGTGGGCAGCATGAGAAGAAGCACCACAAAACTCTCTTCTTTCCACTGCAAAGCAGGAAAAGGCACACCTCACACTGGGCAAATCAGCACGGGGCCGCAAGAGCAGGTGCATCTCCTGAACATTATACAGTGAAATCACTTGAAAATTACAAAATCAGTGGCAATTTTATAACCTTTAAATGAAAATGACTTGCCAAAAGATAACTGACAACCAATGGGGATGTTAAACATACGACTGGAGACAGCCTTCTCTGCGTGCATGTAAAAATCAGACTAAGCTTTATTAGAGAACGAAAAAGCAACAGCTTTGTCAACATGCCTTCTTGGACTTTGGGTTTAAATTTTGGCAGCTATTTCAGTCCTTCCCCAAAAAAATATTTTTAACTTGCAACTAATCTTTGAAGGACCCAACTGGAAGATGAGAAGACGAAGGTATTCAGCTAGCATACACAAATCTTTTGGGAAAGAAGCACTTTGCTCTTGTGATCCTGATCAAAATGTGTCTCTTCTGTAAGCACACTGCCTTTTTGATTGCTACTCAGCTTCAAAAGACAGCTTCACGTTGTAGCAGTACTTCATAGACCACTTAACTGAGCTGTGAACACCCAGATCATCAAAACCCATCACACACTATGCTGGAGACATAATTTAAACTAAGCATCTTGGTCCACACTTTTCAATGTCAATTTAATATGGATACGCATTTAACCCAGGGGAATTACTGAAAATCCTCATTCTGATTCACAAATCACATCTATCTTTATAGAGGTACAACAAATTCAACATCTAATATGTCACTAAAGTTAAAACAAACAAATTCCTATTGGCTTCTATTGATATTGAATTAGGAAACACTAATTGAATTCAGAAAACACTAATATCTGCATCAAAAAGCCATATTGGCCCAAAGATCTTCAGGAGAATAGAAGTCTTAAAGTTGTAAAATGATGGGCTTGCAGATTATCACGATTTGTGCTTTGCAGCCATACCTTCTCCCTCTCCAATTTACATCACTGGCCAAGTATAGAAATTCTTCCCCCGCCTCTTAATAATTTCTCTTCAAAGATCAGGTATAGACTCTGGCTGGACTAGATGGACTATTGGTCTGTTCTGGTCTGATGAATTCCATGCAATAATGCTAATTAACCTCTTGGAGAATATCCATACATAAAACTGTTTCATAATTTATACATAAGCAAGCATCTAGGCTGTTGTGTTGAATTTAGAATTGAGTTCAAGACAGAGGCTGTTTGGAGCTGGGTTGAAAAAACACCCTCCTCCTCAAAACAACCCAACAGAAAACAAAAAAGCCCTCAACAGGGCAACTTCAGGACTTGGGAGAGGAGGTGGAAAAAGTATTCATTCTGGAGAGAAAAACAAAACAAAACATAATCTCTCATCTCATCCACACTTAAGCACAACCTCCCACCCCACCCACACTTACAGCCACATTTTCTGTTTAGGAAAGAAACCATAGATCAGCTAACTTTTCAATTTTTCTTTTTTTGGACAGCAACCAAATTTCGCAAACACTAACTGAACAGGGGAGCATTATTTTACAAATGTAACATGCTGAGAAGCTGAAATTCATTTGGCCATCTTCCTATCACCGATTTACTCTAAAAAATACTTGAAAAAAACCCCAACACATCCATCCCCTCCTGGCCTGCCCAGATATATCTTTGCATTAAGTAAGACTGATTAGCGTAACAAGAAGTTCTGGATTAATTCAATTTTCCTAAAAAAGGTCAGGTTGTTATAGAAGGAATAACCAATATGAAGAGCCTTTCACAAACATGGAAGTTCATTCCTTCCCCATCGAAACTGAAACAAAAAAATCTTATATAACACATTCTCATAAGTACTGTTTTAGCTTGGGAACAAAAATCTTCTTTAATCCTGGTTTAGCTTTTAATATTACATCGTACATTAAAATTCATAAAGTAGTTCATTCCAGGCAAAACAAACTACTTTTCAGTTCTGCTCTGCAAATAGCAGAGCAGGTACAATAAATGCTGTTGCTTTCAGAACAGCTTTTATCAGGACAAGGTTTACTACTCCATTATTACAGTGGCGCCTGGAAGTGCAGTTATAGTTAAGTGTCAGGGTTTCCATTATCTCTCCTTCAGGGTGGTTTTCGCGGGGGTGGGGGAAGAGGGTTTGCATTTATTATTTTGTTCCTTTTTACTTTTGTTAAAATGCAACTTGGCACAAAGACTATTAACCTAAATATCAAATTTTGCCGACTTACAAAACAAAAACTTTCTGGTGGTGACATACAGCATGTGCATATATTTGAACTCCAGGGCTCCACCATCAGCTTTCACAGAAGCTGGTGTTACCCAGAGTTCCTTGCAATGGAGGTTCACTGGTCCTTGAACACCATCAAAGCAGTGTCCTCCTTGAGACCAGTCTTTCAAGAGTGACATTCTATCTCTGAGGCCCAAGTCAAAATTGCTTTAGCATGAAGGAATTGTAATTTATCTGTAGTCAGAGGGAGGCCAGGATTATATTTACGAAAGAAAGGTTTTTCTCAATGAGTACCCGGAACCATGACTCATGCAAGATTTGTGGACACTTCTTAAAACACTGCCTCATTAAAATTATATTCTGCTCTTGACATTACAAGTACTTTGTTTTTACACAGGATGATGATGGGCCCCAACAGTTAACACAAATTTTCTTTGGGGAATATGGGAGGAAAGAAGGATTTCTTCCTCAGCTCTGCTGAAATAGAGATTACTTGTCCTGAGAAGGAAGCATTCGTAACTGCAGGATGTCTAACAAGCTTTAACCAGAATATTTTGGAAAAGAAAATCTGTAACTTGGCCACCTGTCTCCATCCTCCCCCACAAGGTGTACTAAGGAGAAGGGAGTCATCTTCCCCCCACATCCTGAATTGCCCTGATAAGACAGACAGGCCATCCCTAGCACCTCAGCATCCTCTAAAGTATTCCCACATCCTCTCACTTCCACATAACATGCAGTAGACTCATCCCCTGAACTTGTCTTAAGAATACCCTGAAAGGACCTCTGTGGGGTGATCTGCAAGATGATGGTGTTGAAGAGAGGATGGAAATTAATAAATATAACAAGAAAGGACTTTTGTCCTTCCTTCTAGATTGGAGAGGTTAAACTACGTCTCCATGCAGTACCTACCTGATGGAGATGCTAATACTTATAAACTCCAGTGCCCCAGGAAAGAGCCTGACAGAGAGGCTTCTGCCCCAGGAGGTGGGAAGGTGAACAATGTCCAAGGGAAAAATTCTTGTGTACGCCGTCTCCTTGTGCTCAGTCCGCCAGTGTGGAAGATAGTAGCAGACTTTTACAACTTGACCAGCTTAGAGCGCTATACACGCATTCCAAAAGCTCATGCATTAGAGGCTAATGATTTCAATTTAAAAAAAAAAAAGTAAGATTTTGCATTTTGTTTCAGTCAGAGAGAAAGGGAGAAGTAAGGGGGACAAAGAGCTTCTTAAAGGATTTCAAAAAAGAATTGGAAGCAATCCAGATACATTAGCTCAAGCAGCAACTAGTAAGAATGCTGTAAAAATGAGATAAATTCAACACAGTTCCTTCTAACTCAGGCACCAAGGTTTATGCTTGGTGAATTCCTACTATCTGATCAGACCTCCAAGGTCATGCTTTATGTTTTTGTAAGCAACAGTATGCAAAATTCACACAGAAAAAGCTCAGCTACTAAATGGTTAAGTCTGCTCTACTGTCTGGCCACCAGTTGGCAACACAAAAATGCAAAATAGATCCTTTTCAGGATGTTTATTTTCACATCCTTCCGAAACTGATAACTTGCAATTGCAAAATAAACCTTCATGTGTGGCATATTAGCTCCCATTTTTCATGGTTTCATAGTTTAATTGTTTCAAATGTTACACTGGTCTAAAGATTTAATATTAAATATGTTGGCTCTTGTGTAAATTCTGTTGTCAGGATAAATGGTCTGTTTTCTCTTTCAATGGTTATCCAAGAAGCTCACAGACAAGCTAAAAAAATATTATGCTGTATTATTGCATAGTGAACTTTAAATAATTGCTTATAATAAATTTAGTAGTAAGGATGTTAGTAGTTTTATTTCCTTAATAACAAATATTCAATAAACTGTGGATATTTGGGGAGGTATCAGCGTAGTAGTTTGCATTAATAAGTTTGTAGTATCCTGACTATAATTTATTTTTGCTACAATCTGTAAAGTTAAACTTGCCAGTGTTATAACTAGGATAATTTCATTATTATTTCTAGCATTAAGTATCGTACTTCTGTTACCAACATGAGTACTTCAATTTTCAAACTTAGGGCTCTGAACACTTAGAAACAGGTGAAAAGTGCTTCAGATGTCTATAGGTGGGTAATTCTGGAAACATGCAAAAAGGTCAAGGAGAATCCCAACTCAGAGGTTTCTACATTCTTAGTCCATTCACTAGGTAAAGTGCATACGTTTTCCTGAATGACAGAGAACAATATAACAACTAGAAAAAATAACTGCTTTGTTCTGTAGACCTCAAGTATTATTCTATAAGGTTTCCTTGTTGTTTTCCTTTTGAAAACGATTAAAACAAAAACTTATGCTGTTTCCACTTTGAACTGTCACAATTGGGTTAACTATACTCCTGACTCACACTAAAAAAAACCTCCTAAACCCCTAAATTAGGACTCAGAGTATGTTTTGTCAGTTAAGAAAACCCCTAAGTCTCACTTTCTTTCTGGCTGCAAGGGATTTATACAGTTTAAAGTGTGAATTAAAACCAATACAAGGACTACCTCTGACTTGACATCCTTCTGGAAGGTCCTGTAATTAACTCTGTTCTTTAGCTGTGAAATTGCCCAAGACCACTTGAGACAGAGTGAGACATTACCTTGGCAGAAAGAGATAAGTTAAGAAGGAGAGTTAGCCTTTGCTCTGAATTACCTGGGCTGTGGGAGCAGGTACAGATATTAAAACAAACTCAAATGTTATTTTAAACACAGTTATCTCTATTTAACTATTTTCCACTAAAGCATTACTGTGTAAATAGATTCTCATCCCTTATCTTGAAGAGTATCTATAGTGGATTTTACAGACTAAACTCAGTTAATGATAACAAAACTACCCCATTAGCACAGTCTGTTCTTTCTGCTAAAATTTTTTTGTCTTCTTGAGGAAAGCACTGCAGCAGGTCAAAGTGATCTTCCGTCCTCTCTTCTACAATTTTGTTATTCGTTACTTTAGTGTGGTCCTTAGTATCCAACAGCTGCAGGAAAATTAGAAAAATAATCTCGAGGAATTTATACCATTCAGAATGGCTATGGAACATAGTCATAGTCACAAGCCTATGACTGGTTAACAAAAACCTGTTGTTTACATACTCAACCAGCACAAAATTCCCACAATCCCAAAACCTTGCTTTGTATAGCAAATCTGGACTGTGTATACAGCATGATTCCCACCTTTCTTGAGATCAGCTTATTTCATCCTTGGATAGGTACAACCTTGAGCCACAGCAATGCAGAGTATTTCAGAAAAGATACAATTTTTGGAGTCTTTTGCTCACAACCACATTTCTTCTCTGTGGAAATCCTGTACATTCCTATGGCTCACGTGTATTTCTAGTGTACCTTAGAACAAGCATTGGAGTTTCCATGACAGATACAAGGACTAAGCCACTGAATTTCTGGATCCCACTCTATCAAACGTTGCAATTTTTGGAGAATTAAATCAAATAGATTTTACAGAAATCAATAGGAGTTTCATTTGAACAAATACTAAATGAAGCTTTAATGAACATTGCCAAATCTTTCTGAACAATGGATATAGCAAGACTGGTCTGTTATCACTGGATAACAGTGTCAGTAACTAAACCTGGCAAAAGCATGCCCAGCATTTTGGGATGGAGTCTTCTTTCCCCCCTAACTTTAGTTTTACCTGTTTGCTTTCTGGGAAATAATTTTTAAGCCACTACAATGTACTCATACTTCTGCTTTCACTCCCTTGCAGTTTAGTGGTCCAAATCCTTCAAAATCCCTATTTGAACCTCTAACATTACGAACCTGAGAACTGTAGGTAAAGATGACAGCTAAAAAGTCATCATCTTTCAGGCCCAGTAAAGCTCATATCTCAATAAAATGAGCACAAACTTCTGTAGGGACCATAACAGACAGAATTTATCTTAAAACTAAAAAACAGGTAGCAATAAACTGCTACTATCATCCATTACATTTCTTAAATTTAATTTGTGATATGCACTGCAAGTAACGATTCAATGAGTGTTTAAAAAATGCAACAGCTTTCTTCCTTCTAAGAAAGGTATCACCCAGCAGGACAGTGAGAAAACACAATGAGCAAACATGAAGGACAGAGAGAGCAGTTTACTTGTGGAGGCCGGCTGGGTGGTGTGCTTATGAGAGGTGCAGGGCCCATCGCAGAGGCTGCGTTCAAGCTCCTTTCCCTTTCGTCCTGGTAAATTCGATCTCGTTCTGCTTCTGGCAGCTGCAAGAAGTTCTGCATAGCCCGAAGGTTTACCAGTAAGGACTGCGAGGCAGTCTTGGGATCCTCTTCCTTTCGGAGGATTTCTGAAAGCAAGCCCTGTGGACAGGGAAGAAAAAAATAGGCCGGAGAGTTAGACTAGGTGAGTGCCTGTAAAACTGTGCTCTGCAAAACCACTGCTTATCAGTCACTGTTCGTCTTCCCACTGGGTTGAGAATGAGAACAGCAAATACACTATTCGCCCCACACAGGAATATATTAATGGCATTTTAGGTAGCAGAGAAGTAAGCCTCAGTTGTACCCTTAATTTTATTAAGCACCTGTTTTACATACAACATAAACTGAATCTGCCTAATAGGTCTTCTTTCTTTTACTGGCTTAACTTGCCATGAAATCTTTCACAGTTGACAGACAATCACAAGACGTTAAGAATAAGTGAAATACACTGGGGTGTTCTCAGGCTTCACAGACAAAATGCATAACCAACCTAAAAAAAATGCTTTTCACATTTCTAGCAACTTATAGAGCTCTTTGAAAGGAAGTGATATTTCACAACTAATCTGAGATGATAAACTTGTAACGTTCCTAAAGTACTGCTTAACTGACTCAGCCACATTTTTCGTAAGTCAGTATTTCTATGAGCTGTATATTGGAGTTAACAAGTGAGGAAACTCACTGTTGGATGCCCTCACCTTCTTGCACCTTCTCCTCTCCTCATCAGAACAACCCTAATCCTCACCCAGTCCACCACCTGGGATGGGAAATGAGAGGAAAACTGCACACACGGCTTCTGTAGCAGCAAGCCTGGGATGGGCAGGCTGCAGAGCACAGCATGCCACTAGCAGCTTGTACAGACCACACCAGGTTTTCTACACAATCATTTCCTCTCAGCTTGCAGCAACGGAGCAGGCGTGGAGGTCTGGGACACCTAATTACTTTAAAAGATGAAATATTTATGAATCTGTGAGTGCAACTACAACTGTAATGACAACAGGTTCTACCCCTGCCCCCGCCAAATCCTCCTTTTAAGTATGTCAGGCATCCAAAATGCTCTACTGTCTTGGAGTAACAAGACAGTGATAGGAAACCTAACTTTTGCAAAGGCATATGTGAACTTCTTTTTAGGATAAATGGTGTTGCTGTGCTGGTACAAGAAGCAGGTTGGTATGAGAGGCTTTTACTGCTAATGTAACAAGGGAACACAGATGTGAATGTAAGGAAATAGCACATCCCAATGTTTCTTGTCCTAAAGAACTGTTCTAAGTTATTTGGGATAATGGAGGGGGAAATGAAGGGAGGGAAGCAGACAATAAAAAAGCTAAAACTAAGGTAGGCAATCCTGACTATATCCATTCCTAAACAACAGAAAGACACAGCCAAGATGTATCTTTGTAGGAAAGTCTAATGCTAACAGCACACACTCCTGTGGAAGCTGTCACCACTCTAAGGTCTTATCCTAACAGGCAAAAGACCTTTATGAAGGTGCTGCTGCAAAGTCACCGCTCTCAGGCAGGGTCTGAGCCCACCCAGTGTGGATCTGAGCTCTGCATTTCCCTGTTGCTCCTCCAGCTCTTGGGCAATGAGGACCAAGGTGCTAACCACTACACTGGGGCCAGTGTGGTTCTCATGGCCCTGTCTGTGCCTGAACATGTAATAGTGAAATGGGATGGAAAAAACCCAGTCTTTCCAGCACTAAGCATGAAAAATATTTTGGAGGAGGATTAAAAAATAATCTTGTGGGATACCTTCTTACCACTTTGCTTCATCCCTCCTCTTTTCCAGTATCCAGGCAGAAACTACTCAGAAGGTAAATAAATGAGTTACTGACATAAATGGCATTTGGGTGAAGCATAAGCTTTTCTTAATGATTAGTCTAATAATAAATACACTTGTTAGAAAACATGGAAACTTAATTTGTGTCTACTATTTTTTCTACATCTAAGTACTCAGACCCAGTTACTACTGTTTGTCAGTGGTAGGGTTACGCGACCTACCCTCAAAGGAGGCAAAAAATGATTTTGCGACACTGGAGAAAAGGCAAAGCTGTCTGCAGAGCACAGAATGTAGAGAACAGAATAGTTTAGGCTGGAAAAGACCTTTAAGATCATCATGTCCATCCAGCAACCCAGCACTGCCAAGTCCACCACTACACCGTATTCCTCAGTGCCACATTTGTACATCTTTTAAGTATCTCCAAGGATAGTGGTTCCACCACTTCTCTGTCAGCCTGTTCCAATGCTGTGGGACACCTCTTGGTGATTAGAAATGCCACCAAGTATTCATTCTTTTCTCCTTCCCCTATCACTGCTGTGACTCTGCCTGAGCTGGGAGCAGAGCAGCAGACAGAGATGCAGAAAGAGGAGGGGAGATGACAGAGCAGGGAGAAGGCAAGGAGGAGTTTGTTTCTAGGGCTCTGAACTAAGGGTCAGAATATGCAAGGAAAGAATATGAAAAATAAGATATAGTACCACGTGCAGGCAAAGACTTACAATACAGTTTGCCTGGTTTAAAGATTACTTCATTGTTACTGTTTCAGTTTTTATGCATAAGACTTCAGCTAAAAGTTGTTAGACAAGATGTACAATGGGAAAAATCCTAGAAAGCAAATGTCAGCTCTCACATCCTGCCCCATGCTGATGTGTGGAGATTTACTATTCGTTTTACCAGGCTTGAACTCGTTTGCTGAGATACTAGTCTTGGTGTGATCTCCTGATATTGTACCTCAGGATGCATAAAAGCTAAACCTGTTTTGCATAGAGATTATAAACACTGTTAGATTCAGAGCCCTCCTCACTGTTTTTCCCTGGTATTCTTTTTGCACTGGAAATGTATTTTCTTAAATGTTCCCAGGTTCTATTGAAAAAAAAAATTTTACATGTCATCACAAGTATAATTCTTTACTAATGGCACAAAAATGTTCAATAAATATTATCAGGGCTTTCAAAAGCTCATTACGAATTCTTTAAAAATGGAGATATATTAAAGTGTCTGCCAATATGAACACAAACACTGCCTGTCTGGCCCCCAGTTTGTCTCCTCTTTGAATGTAATCACTGATTCAAATAGATTTTATCAGCCTGATAGAACTTCAAAGCTCCCAGAAGAAAAATGCGATTTGCCCAAACTTTCCAAAACATACAGAACATCACTGAATGCTATCTCTTTCTATTGCAGGATGCTCCTATGCCATGTCCAGGTGGAAGATTATTCTCAAGCTCCACCCACAAGCCTGGATCCCTGCTAAGTAAGTTATAAGCAGACACATTTATCTATGTCGCTTAGTAGCAAGAGGAGAGCTGTCATGATAGTGTAATAGCACCTTTTTACCTTTTATTCAATAGTGATATGGATAGTGTGCTTTTTCTTAAATTACACTACGAAGAATTATATGAATACTGTGGCAATTTCTGTTATACTTAAGCAGGCAAATTTCTCTCTACCACATAATTTACAGAACTCAAATTCAATAAAACATTACATGATGGTCCATTACTGTTATCAGTTTTGAATAATCCATCTTCATTTTTCATTTTACTGGAAAATAAAGTGTGCCAAAGACAAAGTGGAAGGAAAAAAAATAGTGCCTGAGAAGGTGGATTGTGTAAACTTAGATTTTGTTTTACAATTACACAGAGCCGTTTACTGCATCCAAGTGTTCTCCTTCGAAATAGCAATTGCCCAGAATTAGCATGAGCACAGTCCTAAATACATAGAAGTTTTCACATATGAGAAAAGGCATTATGCATGAACAAAAGGCAATGCGTCCTGGCAGCTAATATTTTTAACAAGCATGGGGCTTGTTACTACTACTAACAAGTAGAAAGGCAAGAGAGAGAAAGAAACTCTGGGAAGTACTCAAAAACCTTCAGATCAAACATTGTTACTGGTGCGAAGAAGGAAAATGACAACAGTCAGACATGGCAAAAGCAGCAAAAAGCACTCCTCCTTCTGTGAAGACAGAGCCTAGAGGTCACCTCCGTACAACAGCACTCGAGTTCAGGCAGCAAACCTTACGGTTGAAAGTGTACAGAAACAGAGACAGGCAGCCCTCAGTTACAGTTCCAACCACAACAGTGACACACAGTTCCTCGCTCGCACAGCGTGGACTCGTCACCAGGGTAAGCTACACCTTCAAGTCAAATGTCAGACTTGCTGCGGAACCGAAGCCTTCAGTTTCCTGACTCATGTTTACATTTACAAACACACAGAAATGGGAGAGGAGTTTGTTTGTTTAGGGCTCTGAAGGTTGTTCAGCTCAACAAATTCTTTTGTGCCACTCCAGCTCTAAGGACAAAACACAATAGAGAAACTCCCAGTTTAACTGCACATTTGAAGGGGCTAGCAGAGCCTCTCTGCTGATAGGAGGCTGCAGCACTGTGCTTTGTGGGGCTGCCCCAGTGGATTGTTGCTGTCACCCCACAGCTGCTCAGGGCCACACAGGGAAGCAAACTGATCACGTTTTCTGGCCAGCAAGGCAAAAGAAAATACTGAACTCGCTCTTTCAAGACAGCAGAGGTGTCTGCACAGTGCACTGACATCAGCTGGAAAAAATACTGTTTATGAATTCGGTGAACTGCCAATGGAAACATAAGTAGCTCAATTTACCAAAATGACGCTGGCAAACAGAGAAAATGATAGTCACCTTTGGTAGCCTTGCTTGAGGTGAAACCCAGATCTGCTAGCACAAATCCTGACTCAAATTCTTCCATGGTGCACTGCAAAGAGCTGACAACAGGATTCAACCTGTTCCTCTGCACCCAGTGACCTGGAATCACAACTGCTGAAGGACAAGCAAAACTTCAGATCCAACCGTGCTCTGAAGCCTTCCTAGAATGACCACAGAGGAATTTCTCTTGCAGAAAAGTGCTCTGCCTTCCAAAACTGCTTCTGCTCTCTACAACAATTCTTCTACTGTGTCTGTATAGATGTGAATTTTCATTCAAGTTATAGCTATCTGGACTTTGATTAGTCTTTACAAGGCACATTCCTGAGAAATCAGTTTTCAAATGATCATTTGAAACTTAAGGACAGGGGGGAAACTATCCAAGAAGATATTATGGTCATACCCTTTCTTTCTTAAGGACACTCTTCTTAGGCATGGTTGAGGGGGTTTTTGTGCTTTATAAACAGATGACAATAAAATAAATTCTTTAAAAGACACTAGTTTTCAGAAGTATTTTTACCAAATTCTTTCTTTTGAACTAGAGAAAGGCAGATATATTCCTAGTCAGCACTTTTGTCCATAAATCAAAAGGTCTTGAAAGCTAGGGCCAAGTGCTGAATTACTACACTAAGCTCCTAGAACCCACCTTCCCACCCAAAACCATCAGCAAATTCTGTATTCAAATTGCAGAGTATACGTCTGAAAAACAAGAGATGCCAACATCTTCAGCCAATTCCACTGAAGTCCACTTTATTGCCTAAATAAAGCTAAATTATTTTTAATTTATAGATCACTTCCTTCCCTAACTTTTACGTTGAAAACAAATCTCTCCCCACATCTGAGACAGTATCTTAACAGCAGGGTTTTCTTGCACAGAACTCCTAACCGATTTCAGTGAGTTCTTATGCCTTTAGAAACTGATGGCATGATATGGTCCCTGGACACGGCTCAAATATGCTTATGACAGTTTCAAAAATGTCAGTGGTAAGCCTGAGTTAGCTTTTTATCTCAGAAAACAGTAGATGAATTTAAACAAGCATTTTCACTTGCTCTAGCCAAACACACACACACAAAAAGACCTAAGATACTACATCAATATTAGAATATAACTTCTAAATAGCATCTGTTATTAAAGTGCTGCCCTAATTTTACTTAAATATGATGTATCCTTGAATAAGCTGTGATGAATTCAGAAGTACAGCAAGCAGAACAAATTTAAAAGTTTTTACATTAGGATCACTAGTACCTGTGCATATCCTTGGACATCAGCTGTCATGGTGGGTAAAATTAACAATTTCCAGTTTTGCAAAGGTTACAAACTCCTTTGTATTTCAATGGGGCTTTGTTTCATATGAAAAGTATGCTGAGATATTTCTGGGCAACACTGAGGTTAATACTGTCTAACCTCCTAGTATTTTTCCTTTTTCTTCCCTACATTCCATACATAACAAACACTGCAAAAGCTTACACAGATAACTGCAAATACTAATTTGATTAGCTAACACAAATTGTCAGATATAGGGATACTACTGTGTTCTCTCAAGTAGATTTGGTTGAAAATTGCCAAAATCTATTACAGAAATTTCCTATCTCTTCAGGGGAATTGTTTTCAACGTTCATTTTGGGGTTTCCTTCCAGTTTTGGGTCACTTTGAACACATATTACCAACCTGGTTAACCACAACGTCTGTGGAAGAACTGAACTTAAAACAAATATTTAATAACATTTGTTGTAAGAAAAATACATAGTGATAAGTATTTTTAATATATATAGTGCAACAATAATACTAATATAAAAGAATCAGTATTTGCACTAGAAATCTGGTTCTACAGTTGCACTCATCACATCTAAAGGAGCATCTTCTCATTCTGTGTCATATAAATTCAATGTCCAGTCAGAACCAATCATCCTTGTATTTCAGGTAACAAATACTGCTCATGCACGAAGGATATGCCAAAAGCTGTACGCAAAACTAGCTGACAAAAACTGACCAAATTACTTCAGAGGGGGAAGAAAGTTCAGAGAAAACAAGGTGCTCTTAGAATCATCATAGAACCAACTGGGTTGGAAGAAACCTCTAAGATCATCGAGTCCAACCCTAAGGACAAGTGTGAGAAACAAGTAAATATAAAAAACCCTTTGTTTTTAAAATTACTTGCTTGGCTTTTTGTCCAGCTAAGATGGCACCCGCAAACCATTGCTACATGAAGCTACTATTATTGCTTCAATACTTTCTAGTATCAATAGTTAAATTTTAAACATTATATTAAGCAAGACTCTATGTCACTTACTTGCAAATATACACTGCCTGAACCTATCTTAAGTAATTCTTGCATGAGTTCATGTATCTCATGAAATCGCGTATGAAAGACCCAGATCTTGAAAACCTCCTCTGCTGTTGATAGGAAAGTCACACACAGAGCTCTTCAGAGAATTCACACAATGACTCTACTTTCTTTTAGCTAAAGGAGGATGTAAAAATTTTTAAGACAACAGTAATTCAGAACAATTACAAATGACATGCTGATTCAAACCTGGTACCACAGCATTTGAAACAGAATTTTTATTCTCTAACTACACAGGGAGAAACAACCTTTCAAGAGAGGCCCAAATTGTGATTTTTTTGTTTTACTCTAATATACAGTGGACAAATGGTTCCTTAAGTACGCGTTTTCATTTTAAAATGTGTAATTCAAAGCACGTTTACCTATGTCTTTTTTAAATATTTCCTATTAAAAAAATTCCTATTTTATTTTCTATTAAAACAGACTTCTAAAATTTTGAGATCTTATTATTTGCATTGGATATACTGACATTTCTTCCATAATTTCTGCTTGATTAAATTCCATGCAACATGGCATTAAGTTAAATTCATAGAGCAGAATAAATTATAACAGGGTTAGCTTCTAAAACAGGTGTAAAAAATAACACATTTTAGTGTTACTTATCAGCTTTGCTAGGGCTAGCTTTTTCTGCATTGAAGAGCTGAAGTATATGTTCTGACGTGGACATCAGCAAGCTCAGCAACTACTCTTTTTGCAATAAGCTACAAAAAATACATGAAAAGAGTAGATGATCTAAAGATAAAGCTTTTAATTTTTAATCTTTTCAGAAGCCTGAAAAGATGTTATTAAGACTTTCACTAGAAAATAATCAAAATAAATGCAAACATGAATAAAAGACTACGTCCGGTACACCTGTGAAAGAAGACAGGTTGTTCAGTGTGTATGGGTACAACTTTGCAACACAAATGGCAATCTGTTGGGTGACTTTGTGAATGGTTCTGCATAGAGCTGTTCATTTCCTTTCCAGGGAAGATTCAGCTATTCATAAACCATCACAACTGGAGAGGAACCAAGGTGCCTGTAAGAACAGCAGGTATTTCCACAAACCAATCCCTGAAGATTTCTGTACTGTATCAACATGAACAGTGGGCCTGCAAGGAAGCAAGGTTCCTTCAAAGGAGCTAAGTAACAACGCAGAAATGAGGAGAGAGACTTAAAAGATGGCAATTACTAATTAGAGAGAGAAAGAAGGAACTCTTAGACTTATAAAAAAATTAGAAACAGATGACTGACCTGAGTTCGGTTAAAAGCCACACGTGCAAATACTGCCTGTGAGATTCCTGCTCGTTTCAGTTCATCACGGACCCACTGGTAGATTTCGGAAGACACCTCTGTGTTTGTTGAGACCTGCTGCTCCAACGGCTTGTTCATGGATCTACTGACAGGAGGAGGGTGGTTCAAGTACTGTTGGTTTAAGGACTGCTGGGCTAGAAGTCTGTTCACTGCATACTGCTGGTTCAGCAACTGGGCCATTACCAGCTGCTGATTTACCAGCTGAGGGCTAATGGGAGTAGATACAAGTCCAGGGTGCAGGTTTGGAAGTGGGGTCCGAACTGATGGTTGACTACCATGAGAAAGCTGAACAGGAGATGGAGGCTGTTCGGCTGTGTTCCCTGGGACTGGCTGCTGACCGAAGTTGACATGGTTGGCACCTTGCTGGGATAGTTCAGAAAGGCTATCCATCTCAACTATGGTGGAAAAGAAACATTGAAAAGGCCAACATCAGACTGAAAATCACAAACTTAATTCTTCTTGCAAGACATGATAATAAAAATAAACAAATATAAAATGATGCAATGCAACTGAACTGTGAGCATGCTGCTATATCCCATAGTGATGGGCACAGGGGACTCCAGACAAGGCAGTACCCAACTAGAGATGGGGCAAGGAGAAGACACAAAAAAACTCTAGTGTGCTGCAGACAACACAGGTGAAACACTAAGTGCCTCTGTGCAAAGGGTAAGGAGTGACGCAGGTGAAACAGTAAGTGCCTCTGTGCAAAGGGTAAGGAGGACTGTTACAGGAAAGCATGCCTCGGCCAGAGCCAGAGAAGCCCCCAGTAACTGGTTTTGTTTCTCCCATGACGTCCCTGCCACGACATCTGCAGTTCCCAGCTACTGGAAATCTGTAACAAGCAGGGTGAGGTGCAGATCTCCTCATGCTCTGCTAATTTCTAGATGCTGCATCAATTGTATGGGACTGCTAGGAACTAGTATAATTTATGTAAATTACACAGATGGGCTGCTTTATCTTGCAACCATGTATGCATGGTTTTTTTCAGTGACTTGCAACATGGTTGAATTTTTTTCGTATATTAACTCATCTGCCTTGACACACCCTCCTTTTTAATTAACAACACAGTTTTTTTAAACTACAAGAGTTCTTCCAGTTCCCCTCTTGTGCATGATAAAACAATATAAAATAACTCCAGGCTGATGTAAAGGAGTCTCCTTTTTATCAGTGTATGCCACTTTGTTAAATTTTAAACAATCTCACTTCTAGAGCTTTAGAAGCTCTGGTCTGGAAACAGCCTTAATAAAATACACTGTATTTAAAAACCCAAAGTCCAGTATTTTCACAGCACCAATTGTGCAGCAATTTTTTTCCTATACTAGTAAAGCCATTTGTGGTTTTTTTTTTTGAGGCAGTGCCTCAGCTTTTCATAGTAATTATGATCTTCACTAAGAGTCATCATTGCAAGACTACACAGGGATGAGAGCTGGACGAAGAAATCGGTGCCATGATTCCCACCCACATCCTTGTGCTTCACTGTCCTATCACAGGCAGAAATGTAATAAATAGAAAGCAAGCCAGTTGTTCTGCAGAGAGTTCTGGTGTCCATAGCCTGGATCAGCCTCCAAGCAGAAGCCCTGCTATTCCTCACCCAGGAGGCTTTGGGGGCAATGCTGCCTCTCTCCCCAGGTTACACACAAATACACAAACAGGCACAGGTTTCCTATTCACTGGCTTCAGTGTCTCCAAATGAATGGATGGTGAACCTGTCTTGGCAGGTCACATAAGTAAAATTTTGCAGGGGTTGCCCCATGCAGAAGTGTTGCTGCAGTGGAGGTGGGAGAGGCTGCTGTGGAAAGGACACCCTCTCATGGCTCTGCTGCCTCCCTCATGGACCACCTGAAACCAAGTGAAGCCTTACCACCTTACCACCAAATTTGGTGGTCTCAGAAGAAGAGTTTGTTGTTGCACAGATTAAGGAAAGAAGCTGCCTTTTCACTTGCAGAAAGTAGAGATCAACCCAAGTGGGCCATTCACTCAGAATAGTAATTCAAGCAATTATCACAAAAGTGATGCATTGTCTTCATTACAGCCTTAAGCTATAAAAGGCAAGGAACCCGTTTCGGTAGATGAATGATTTTGCTTCAAATACTGAAAGCTAAGTCAAGCTCAAAATTCAGTCCAAACTGAGGTCCAATTTCTCCATTCTCTTGAAAACTATGTAGAAATTTTCCAACATAAAGTGTTCAAAATTCTGTGAACAGGTTTAAGAAATAGTTTTTAAAAGGGACAATACGAAAAGATAAAAATTATCACAGAATTAGTATGTCCCAGTGGTAGATTTTTTTCTCCAATAACTTGTGCTTACTGCAACAAGCAAACAATTGTCACAACAACTATTTGTTAAAATGAATTGAAATTGGGGTCCCAAAGATATGAAATTATAAAATTATAGCATTCTTCTTGGAAGGTAGTGATAGTTATAGAAGCCTGTTTCTTTAAATATACATTAGCCAGAGCAAGAAAAAAATACATACATTAAAAAATCAGTTCGTCACAGTTCCAGGAACAGGTTTTCTAAACAATTATTCTGGATGGTAGAAGATCTCTAGATTTACAGAATGACAGCTTTACATCTCTGGCAAGCCAAGTCAGCTTGGCTGTTTCAATAGCAAATATTTATTTAAATGAATTCTTTCACTATATATGTACTTTCTACATCTACTCATCAAAAGCATCCTAAACTTATCGTGAAGGGAACTGGCTTCTTATATGGCTGTGACAGACCTCAATGTGACACATAATGGTATGTAACCACCATCAAGGCAATTTTTTTTTTTTGCTTACCCATCATATCTTTTGCCTTCTTGAAATGTTTATACCACCTTCCAAATTCCTGACATTTTGCTGCTGAGACATTTGCATAGTAAGTGCTGTTCACAATGGAAGAAATCATACTCTGTGTGAAAAGGGGAGAAGAAAAAAAAATCTGTAATACAGAGCAGTACTAGTTAAAGCACAAATTATTTCAATTGTTGAACCCCTGTATTTTTAGATTTGGTGAACCATATTGCATTTTTAATCCAATCATCCAAAGCCTTTTAAAAAAACTCATTAATTGAGCATGAAAACAAACCAAGGTATATTGTAAATGGGAGTAAAAAAAGCAGATGTACTAAGGGAAAAACAAAGTTATCAACCGAGAAACGTCAAGCAATGGGATGGACTCTGGACAGATGATCCTAATCTTGAAGTGAATTTTGTTCATCCTATTTCTGCTTTTAAATTTGATTGACCCTTCACATACCCACACAAATTTACAGGCTTACAAATCCTACGCTGCCTCCAAAAATGCAAGCAATGACCCAAGTTACTCATGTCCATTCTGTTTGTGCCACTTAGCACAGAGCAGACCCCAGAAAATCACAGGATCAAGTTTATCTGAATGACGAATGAGTAGGATATAAAGTAACAGCTTTATAGTAGAATAAAATATGTATCTAATAAACCAAAATGAACCAGCCTTGCTTTTCCTAAACAGGGTATTTTAAGTTATTTGCAGAAACAGCCTTATGAAAAGATTATTGTCATGTCTAATTCTGTAACTGACTATTAGCTGTAAAATAGACCAAAGGATGATAGAGATGATATTTTTCTCAAAGGTTCTCGAGATATCAGATAGCTACAGTGAGAAATTTACCTTCTGCTCAGTTTTGACCAATTTTAAAACAGTGGAATTTACAATGCATAAAACTTTCAGTTCCAGCACATTCTTTTACAAAATCAATTAAGACTAAGCTTTGCAAAATGAGATACTGCTCCAACTTGAAAATTATACTCAGTATATGATGTAGGAACAACAAAATTAGCAAACTTAATTTCAATAGACTGAACTTTGCCACCCTTTAAATTTCTGTATGGAAAGTAGTTACTTTTAGCTTAACTACAAGAATTGTCCAATGCATTGAGAAAACAATGACAGTCAAGAAGACAAAGCCCTGATCATTATGTTTCTTCATTATTCAGCATGTAACATTTAGATATATTTGTGCTGTCACAAAATCGATGTACAGTATCAACCCTTTGTTACACAAACTGCAGTAACCACTGGAAGAAAGAGTTTGGACTCAACAGGCAATAAATATTACTATAAGTCTTCTTTTATAAGGCTAGTTCAGCTTCTGAGTAAAAGTACCTTGATTATTGATCTTGAAGTTCATTATAGCCACTTTCTAACGTATTACTCAGTAACAAGCTATTTGTGGAGGCTCAGAACTGCTAGAGTGAGGCAGTATTATTTATGCCAAATGTGGATACCCTCCACTCACCGGGCAGCTATTTTAATAATTCTCTGAATCACCAAAATTCTTGCCATTTCTTGATAGCAATCTGGCATTTCTGAAATTAGCTAGAAGCCTTTTGTCAGTGGTATAAAAGGAGAGTGAAATCTTAATAGACTGCCGCAACTCTAGCCTGAATGACCTGAACCAAGCTCAGCTGAACCCAATTTCAATTTCCAATATAATAACACTATCATTAATGTCTAATATGTACAAAATTATCTAAGCTCTTTTACAGATTAAATCATTTTAAACATGGGCACAGGATACATAAGCCATGATTTAAAAAGTCCTGTGGATCTGAACTGGTAAACTGTATGACTGCACAGTTATTCTGCATGCAAACCCTGCAGATCTGCAAGTGCAAAATGGGGAACTGCACCTGTCATGGGCCACCATCCCATATCAGCTCATGCATATTTTGCGGATGTCATTTAGACTTCAAGATAATTTTCTCTCATTTTACTTTGCCCCTTTCAGATGTCTTCTGCCCAAATAACTTTAGTAAGGATGAAAACATGTATATTAATAATAATTTTAGTAAATTACCTATTATTGATGAAGCTGTTTGTCTACGATTTCCTAGTCCTCCCTTCCATGCCATTTTACAAAGATGATATACCAATGACATGGCAGTTTGTGACATCCCCTGCTTCTTCAGGAATAAATTTAATGCAGTTACTTTACAACCAAATAGGGGACTGGTCTAACAGTTTAACTAACATTGCTAGGAATTTTAGCTTCTTTAACACAATGTGAATTTCAAGCTCTGATGGCTAACATTGGGATGTTAGTCCTACTCTTCAAGGTAGATTAAAAAAAAAAAAGACACAGACATTATCAACACATTTAAAAACAAAAATTATCCTGCGTTTTCTTTGAGAACACTTCATGCAAACATTCAAGTGATATTACCTACGCTAAGAATCCTCATCAGGAGGAATCAATGATTTATTTACTAATTCACTGAAGGCAAAATTTTACAAGCTAGATAAAATATTACTACCTTGTTAACTCAGAAAATAACTTGACAACACTGAATTTCATTGTTTCTATGCTTTATTTATTGTCATCAAACCTGCAGTCACATCAGAGCAGAGAGATGCACTTTGCTATAGAAATTCATATTGCTGTAGAATTCCTGTACATTTTAATGTCAGTCTACATATATGAATATCTGGAACACTTGCAGCCTAAAAATTAAGATTAACCCTATGAGTTAGTGGTCTTCAGAGATCCATGATCTAGACTGGAGGCATATTGATGTTTTTTGTGTTACTTGGGTCATTATATTTGAGAAGCTCTCCATCTTATCAATAATCAAATTAAAATTACTGTATTTGAGGAACATCATATTCAGGTACTACCACACATAGGCACAGAGGCAGATACCTTCCATGTACAAGGATAACTAATATAAATATACAAATATTCAAACGCATCACATTCATCAGTCATAATCAGATTTCTTTTTCACACGTTGCAAAGAAAATTGATAGAATGCATAAACTGGTCACAGATCTGCAGTCTTATCTCCTATTTTATCCTTGAAAGTAAGTTGTGAGACTCCAAAGAGCTCAAATTTCCCTCTTTCTCCTCTCTCCATCCCTTCCTCCCCTCAACCACATCACTTGCAGTCCTGTTCTGAGAATCAAGAGATCTCATCTGAAATGGTGCCACCTTCAGAGAAATCCCACTATTCTGGAATGATACCATCTGCTGCAGCCCAAGTGCTCTTTTTTTAGCCAAATAAGTTAATTATAATTAGGCATCCAACAACTGTGTGGAGGTAGGGGTAGAATTCATTCTGAAGTTCAGCTGAGGTTCACCCAGTGTAGTTTGAACCAAATCCCATTTTCTCTGGAAGATTAAATACCAGAGATTTGAAAACCAGACACCATCATTTCTCAAAGAAGTTGGGGAACTCCCTGGGGAAATATCATAAATCTAAACCAGAAATCTTTTCATATGCCTGTCAAACAAAACCCAAGAAATGGTAGCATCAGACACCTTTTGTATTGTGCCAGAATCTCATGCAAGGTGCATCCTGCAAGATGCAGGAAGGACCCAAGCCTTTCATGCCAGCTAGTCACTGCAGCCACTGCTGCTGGTACTTCAAGGGAGACATTTTTGAGTCATTGCCTCTAACACTGCTCTCCAACCAGGTGAAGTGTTGTTCGATCATCGCTAAAAGTATACTGTTGTCCTTTTTGCAAAACAACAAAAACAATGTTAATCAGGTTAATTCAATCATCTAAACCAAAACTGTTCATGCTTTTCTGCCAAATCAACCAACCACAGCAAAATCTGTTATCAGTGATTGCTCAGCTTCCAGTCAAAAAAGCTTTTAACCCCCACAGTCCCAAAACTTCCCCTAAATAACCTTAAAATTATTTTTATATGGGCAGAATGAGGTTGTTTTCATGCCTCATGATGGGGTACTTGGGCAGCAGTATTTTCACAGAGCAAATACATGCTAACAGACTTAGCAGAGAGTAACAGACACAGCAGCTTCCTAAAACATCTTGGCTGAATTAGATATCGGGGATTCCTTTGCAAATGAAACATTTCCCTCAAAAGGAGCATTGTAACCAAAACTTATTTAGGCCTTCCAGGTTGTTTAACTAGTGGGGAAAAAAAAAATCCAAGCTTTTTTGCAACTCATTCATCGGTGTTTAAAGCTTCAAGCCTGCTCAGTGGAAGGGGCAAGGGCTGCAACAACTTATTTACACAATTATCTAAATACGATTAAACAGCTGATGGACAAATATTAAACTGGAAAATGTATAGTCATTTCAGCTTAATGTAATCCCCTTTCTGTAAACACCCAAGATGATTTTTTTTCAACCAGAACAGTCCTGACATCTCATAAGCCTAAGGGTGAATAGCAAGAGATTGTTTTTGATAGTTATAAATATTCAAAAGACATGCAGACCATCTGCTTTCATAATACAGGTAAAGCAAGACTGAAATGGTGACTGCTGTATAAAAATGGTTCTTTTAACAAAAAGTCTTCCTCTCCTCGAAAACTATAAAGACAGATGTCAAAAACTGTTTACACAGGGTAATCAGGAGCGTGCAAAATGTAATATTCCTTTTACACACAGTGCTTGCTAAAGAGATTTTTTTTTCTTTTTCTTCCCATCTGTGTGTTGCAACACATTTCTACAAGTTAAAAACATTTTTTCAAACAGAGATCTCATGAATACCCAAAAACATGCTATCTGGTTTCTGAATGCTAATTAATTTCAACTAAGGAATCTGATTTTTTTCTGTAGAAAGGAATGCATGCTTTTGAAATGGAGTGCTTCAACAATGACAGACACTGAAAACAGAACACCCCACAAGTTTAATTTTGCACTAGTTTGACACTGGCTATTTTCACAACTGTTTTACATTCAAACCCGCATCTGCTAAATCTGGCTATAAGACAGGCAGCAACTATTCTCCTGCTTTGAGATTTTATTTACGTTTTACTATTTATCAATTTTTCAGTCTAAAACCTTGTAACAACATAATGGTTTTGTCAAGTGGTAAGTAGAAGATACCTCATCTTCCAAGCAGAGTATGAGCAGTGCTGCCCATAAACCCTACAGTCAATTTTCAGAGCTGAAACACT